CACGCCCGGCTGATTTTTTGATTTATTGTAGAGATGAGGTCTCGCTGCCCAGGCGGGTCTCGAACCCGCGGGCTCAGGCAATCCACTCACCTCAGCCTCCCAAAGGCATGGGATTACAGGCTGAGCCACCGAGCCCAGCTTGCTTTATTTTAAAAGCTGATTTGAAATCTTGTAATGGACTGATCAAGTCGATATCAGAACACAGTAGGTTAACCTTAAAAATCACAAAACAAGAATCCTTTAAGGGAATCTCTCCCAAACAGAATTTTACTCTCTGTTCTCACACTACAGCCATCAACACAGAAGAAGACTTCTGTGTCCAAATGTGAACCACCAAGCAGTGGATACCATCTGGGTGTCCTCCAATTTAGTCTCAGCACTCTCTACCTCAAGTTAGGGTCAGATCCCACAGGGTAAGGTCTCAGTCCCCAAGACTGCCTCCACACTGCCTCCCTCCACCCCTCACCCACAACCCCTTCTTTGGGTTCAAATAATTTGCAAAAGGACTCAGGGAAACACATTTACCAGTTTATTATAAAGGATATTGCAAAGAACACAGATGAAGAGACACAAAGGGCAAGGTATGGCGGAAGGGGCAGTTTCATGATGTCAGCATGTATTCCCCCAGAGTATAGAGTGGAACCCCCTCTGGGGAGGGTTCTTAAGGCCCACAATCAGAAAGGCAGGGACGCTCAGAGTCCTGCCTTGGGGCAGGTGAAAGGAGGGCAGGAGAGATCCTGTCTCTGAGGCCTGCTCCTGAGGCCTCACACACCCAACATTATAACAACATTATAACAAAAGGCTGTAACTAGGGCTATGGCAGTTGTGAACCAAGAACCATGGATGAAAACCATTATCTATAGCATAACACCACAGAGGGAGAGCCAGATATCTTGTGTGTTTTTCCTAAGGAAACTACACTCATAAGTATGCTCGTCTAAGTAAAGAAGTCCTGAATTCTTACCAAGCCCTGGAACTAACTACCAATTTACAGGAAATACAGGGTTAGAGAACACCATGTTAAATGATACCACAGAGATGCAATGAATGAGAAAAATTCAGAATGTGGGACTCTCTACAGGACAGATGACCCCATTTCCTCAACAAATAAATTCCCAAGAAAAAAGAAAGTGAGTAGGAACTTAGAGAGTAAAATAAAGTAAAATAAATATTTGCAAGACATACCAACCAAATGCAGAGTGTGTACTTTGCTTAGATGTGAATTTTTTTAAAAGACAATTATAAGAAACAATCTAGGGAATTAGACCACTGTCTAGAAATTTGACTATATTTAAGGAGTAATGCTTATTTCTTTTAGGTGTGATAGTTATATTGTGTTTATTTTTAAAAATAAAAATGAGGAGGTCCCTCATCTCCTTGGAGAAGAGGGTGATTGCAGATCTGGTGCAGGGAAAATACAGGATGAGCCTGGAACATTGTATGGTTCCAGAAAGCAAGGCAGTGCTCAAGATAGGATGAGGGCTTGTTAAAAAAGAACACAGGAACCAACCTCATGGTACTTCTAATGGCCAACGCTGGAACAATTTGAACAAAATAAATATTGATACTATTATATTTTAGCTCATAGAATAAAATTAATAGGAGTATGAGTTCACAATGATATAAATAAATAAGTTAAAATAGGCAAATAAATTATTTAATGAGGGAGAAAAGACAGCTCTTTCTTAGGATAGAATGTTGAAGGGGAAGGAAATGGAAATCGTCACTGGGTAAACACAGTGGTAATTAATTGCTGCAGACAATCCACCAATGGATGCTAAAATCAGTAGGTGAAACTTTGAGGAGAAACAAGATATTTTAATAGTCCCAAACTATCTTTCCCCAAGGTATTTATCAACTACAAAGAGAAAGATAACTTTAGAGTTAGAAAATCTGGTCAACACCATCATAACAAGCGAGCAGGCTAACACCACCAGCAATAAGGTAGACCAACATCCTGACCCCTTGGAGGAGATGACAACCCTTCTATGGTTTTCTTGCAAAAAAGCAGGACCTTGTTTCCAATTATAAGAAGACATAAGACTCACCCAAGTGAAGGGACTGACTACATTTTGTACTTTGAATGACTTCTCAAATCATAGCTGGAGACCATGGCTACTCTCTGCCTGTGCATTCTGCATTCTCTTTTTATATTCTATAAAGTAAGTAATCTGTACTCTTCAAAGTCAAGAAAGACAAGGAAAGACTAAGGAACTGTCACAGATTGGAGGGGACTAAGGAGACAGGACAACTAAATGCAAGGTGGAATCCTGGATTGGATCCTGGACCAGAAAGAGGACAGACATTAGTGGAGAAACTGGTGAGATTTGACTGAGGTCTATAGTTTAGTTATCAATATTGTACCAGCATTGCTTTCCTGGTTTTCATAGTGTGCTGTGGTTATGTAATGTTCACATCAGGGAAGTTGGATGTACAAGGGAACTCTATGCTATTTTTGCAACATTTCTGTACATCTAAAATGAGTTCAAAATAAAAAGTTTTATTTAAAAAGAGCCTCTATGTCTTAGAGAAGAATTATGAAATACTAATGGACTTTTTTTTTAAGATGTGGGGTACCATTCAGGGTTACATACATAGATGGTCATCATACAGGTGAAGTTTGGGCCTCCCATTGGTCCTCTCTTTGCCTGGTTTGGGATCAGGTACCCTTATTAATGTTATGTTGCCCCC